GCCTCCCAAGTAGTTGGGACTATAGGCGCCCGCCACAACGCCTGGCCATTTTTTGGTTGCAGCCATCATTGTTGTTTGGTGGGCCCGGGCTGGGGATTCGAACCCACCACCTTAGGTGTATGTGGCTGGCGCCTTAGCTGCTTGAGCCACAGGCGCCAAGCTGACTCCTGGGCTTCTAATGTCGCATAAAGGTAGTCATATTAAGTTTAAACATACAGCTATTGATTACTTTTCCGTTTTCTCTTTACGAAGCATATTCTGTCTTATTTGTCCTCATAATTAGTCCCACAAAGTGGGGGCAAAGCAGGTGCTTTTCACTTTTTTGTTTTTAAATTATTTTTGAGACAGAGTCTCACTTTGTGTCATGCTGAATAGAGTGCTGTGGCTTTGTAGTTAACAGCAATCTCAAATTCTTGGGTTCAAGTGCTTCAGCCTCTTGAATAGGTGGGGACTATAAGCACCTGCCAAAATTCCTAGCTAGATTTTTCTGTTTTTAGAAGAGATAGGGTCTTGGTCTTGCTCTTGCTAAGGCTGGTGTTGAACTGAGCTTAAGCAATTCACCTGCCTTGGCCTCCCAGAGAGCTAAGGTTATAGGTGTGAGCTACCATGCCTAGCCACTTTTCACATTTTTTAAGTGAGAAGCCTGAGGCTCAAAGGATAAATGACTTGTATAAGGTCAAATGGCTGCTAACTTAGGTTTTCTTTAGTTTTTTATAGATAGTGTTCAAATAAAAATCTCCTATTGGTGGCTTGGCACCTGTAGCTCAAGTAGCTAGGGCTCCAGCCACATACACCGGAGCTGGTGGGTTTAAATCCAGCCTGGGCTTGCCAAACAACGACAACTACAACCAAAAAACAGCCGGGTGTTGTGGCGGGTGCCTGTAGTCCAAGCTACTTGGGAGGCTAAAGCTAGAGAATAGCTTAAGCCCAAGAGTTGGAGGTTGCTATGAGCTGTGATGCCGTGGCACTCTACACAGGTCGACAGCTTGAGACTCTGTCTCAAAAAAAAAAAAAGAAAAGCTTCTATTGAAGTTGCATTCACATCCAATCATCCTCTGGGGGGAGATTTTCTTTAAATCCTAAATTATTTTCAAAATCAAAGTGTTCCATTGTGTGTAGCGTATATAGTGTACTGAGTATACAGAGGACCTCTAGGGAAAGAAGACAACTTATGAGGAAAGGGCAGAGAAGCAGGGAAAGCAGAGGATATTTGAGGAAGTACGAATAACTTACCTTTAGCAGTCTTTCTTCTCCCCCAGTACTGCCTTTGAGGATGTGACTTATGATGGCTATTTGGGTACATGGGCAGTAATAGCAAGTCCTCTGGCTTCCTTACTTCTTGACCAAGTCATTCATGTAGGCCCATAAAGGACTTGAAGCAGGAAAGGACATGGCTCAATAAGAGATAAGATGTTATTTAGGTGGGCAGTTTGCCAGAACATTGAGACCATACTATCGCAGTTGGGATACTGCTGCCTTAGTCCAGGTCAGAGATTTAAGTGTATCTATTTCTTGATATTTGCCATAAAAAAATTTTCATGAAGCATTCAGCTTTCAGGTAGGCTCAACACCAGAGCCAGTAAAAAACTTCTCTGCTTCCTTGGAGCATGGGAGCGGGAAGAAGGAAGAATAAAAGGTGTATGTGGGCCAAGGACCTATAGTTGTGGTCCTGATGGCTGTTTTCTCTTTTTCACCAGTGATTGTTCTGGAAAAGTAACTCCTTTGAGAAGAAACTTACCAGGATTTATACATTCTAGTAAGTTTTGAAAAAAAGATCAGTTTGCATTTTTATATTATTTATTGATTGGTCTTTTGAAATGATCAATAGAGCAGGAAGACCAGAGTTCAGTACAGGCAAATAATCAGAAGAGTCATGATATTAGGTCATTAAATCTGAAATGTCCCTAGCACTCTGGGAAGCCTGGGTGGGTGGATTACTTGAGTTTGGGAGTGAGACCAACCTATGTAAGAGGGAGACCCTGTCTCTACTAAAAAAAAGAAAGAAAGAAAGAAAGAAAAGAATACTAGCCAGGTGTAGTGGCTGATGCCTGTAGTCCTAGCTACTCAGGAGGCTAAGTCAAGAGGATCCTTTGAGCCTAGGAGTTTGAGGTTGCTGTAAGCTAGAGTGAGGCTGTGGCACTCCAGTGAGGGCGACAGAATTAAGACTTATCTCCAAACCCCCCCAAAACAAAACCAAACTATAATGTCCAATTTTGAATCAAAAGTTTAGTGTAGGGCAGTGCTTGTGGCTCAAAGGAGTAGGAGGCTGGCCCCACATACTGGAGGTGGTGGGTTCAAACCCAGCCCTGGCCAAAAACTGCAAAAAAAAAAAAAAAGGTTTAGTGTATTATATCTCGAACAAGAGGCAGTACCATTAATCAAAGTATGCATATAAACTGTCAACAGGGTTTTGGTATCTTAATAGTGGGTTGTGGGTGCCAGCAGTGAAGAAACCTAGAGAGTAAGTAGTCATGAAATCTCAAAAGGCATTTTATACAGCTTGTTGAGAACTGGATATTTTTCCTTATAAGAAGTGTAAAGCCTGGAAGTAGTGGTAGTCGGTTGGTACAATATCTGGCGAATATGCTAGATGACAGAGTTTCCGAGTCCAGCTTGTGTAGTTCAAGCACCATTGTTTGTGTGACACTGTTGTTTTGCAACACGATTGGTCTGTCTCTGTTGATGAATCTCAGTTTGCGTTATCTCAGGCATCCTCATCATTTCGTCCAGTTGATATCACTGTAATTGATGACCAGGTTTCATGAAGCTATAGTGGAATAATAGCAGTGCTGGACCATGAGACCTATTAGCTTTTTGATGAATATTCAATTTTGGATGACTTCTTTGATCATTGTGCTGAATACTTGTGATTGTCAAAAAAGAACCCATTTTTTGTCACACATAACAATACAGCATAGAAATGGTTCACCTTTATGTTGCAACAGCAAAAAAAGGCAAGCTTGAAGCTGGGCACAGTGGCTCACACCTATAATTCTAGCACTCTTGGAAGCCAAGGCAGGTGAATCGCTTGAGCTCAGGAGTTCAAGACCAATGTGAGCAAGAGTGAGACCCCATCCTACTAAAAATAGAAAAATTAACCAGGTGTGTGGCAGGCATCTGTAGTCCCACTACTCAGGAGGCTGAGGCAAGAGCCTCAAACTCTTGAGCTCCAGAGTTTGAGATTTCTGTGAACTATGATGACACCATGGCACTCTAGCCAGGGTGACAGTAAGACTCTACCTTCAAAAAAAAAAAAGTGCTTGAAGTAATTTGAATAAACATTTGGCCAGCATACTTTTAAACCAGCAGTTTTTAAATTTATCAAGTGTAGAACACAAAGTCTTAACAGTGATTAAATGAGGTAAAAGCTATGTTAATTAGTTGGATGTAAGTACTCCAATTTGTAAAAAAAATCAACACATTGAATCCCACAGAAGCATAAAAGTATTCATGATCTATGTATATATGACTTAATAAAAAGAAAAAAACCAGTATTTTTTTTCCTGAACCTTTTTTAGATTCTTAAGTAAATGTGGGAACTGCTTGTATTTGGAGGTTGGATTTTTCTTTTTTTTTTTTTTTTATTGTTGGGAATTCATTGAGGGTACAAAGAACTAGGTTACATTGATTGCATTTGTTAGATAAAGACCTTTTTATAAGTGTGTCCTGCCCCCAAAAAGGATTTTTTTTTTTTTGAGACAGTATTATTTTCTCACCCTCGGTAAGAGTGCTGTGGCAGTGTCACACTGCTCGCGGTAACTTCCAGTTCTTGGGCTTAGGTGATTCTCTTGCCTCAGCCTCCTGAATAGCTGGGACTACAGGCACTTGCCACAATGCCCGGCTATTTTTTGTTGTGGTTTGGCTGGGGCAGGGTTTGAACCCGCCACCCTCGGTATATGGGGCCAGCGCCCTAACTCACTGAGCCATAGGCACCGCCCAGCCCAAAAGGGATTTTTTAAATTTTCTTTTTAAACTTAATCTTTGGTTCTCTTAAACAGGGTTCTCTCTTGACTTAACATTTTCATTTGTATTATTTCTAATTGTTGTTTATGCTTTTCATTGCTATTAAATTGCCATCATTTTAATATTTAGTTCTTTTGATGACACTATATTTAAGCTTTATATCATAACAGAAAAAGCCCTTAACTAGCAGACAAGAGGGTGCACATGTTTGCTGCTAAATAGTCCTTGTGGTGATTAAATTCTGTAGTCTCTTCCAGCTCTAGATACCTTAAGATTGTGGTAAAAGTTGACCATAATTGGTGTTTTAAGAAAGGATCCTGCCCTCTTTTTTTTTTTTTTTTCCTATTTCAAAAGTATTCCTAAAGTAATACTTTAGGCTAATTATTTTGTTTCAGTGATTTAATGTGTTTAATACTGAATTGCAAGGTCTTAAAACTAGGACTTCAATTTGCTTCCCCAGCCATATCCTGCAAATGAGACTTCTAAACTTGCCTCTGAGAAGGTGAATGACTATGAACATGCAGAAAAGTACATGAAGAACAGTCAAGCGAGGCTACCTTTGGTGAATTTTCATTTTTTAAAGTATTGTATAGAAAATGAAAAAAAAAACCATATAGCGACTTAGATTTATTTCACTTCTTTATAATGTTTGATCTCACTGACTAACAAATCAGATGTACAATATTCTGTTTTCGCTAAGGGTGACTTGTCATGACTGCTGGCTTAGAGCATTCTAAGACAGAATTCAGAAGTCCATGAATTTAAATGGAGAAAATTACATCTTCATTTTTCTACTTTCTATGTGAAAGCCTCCACTTTGGTATTAGTGGTAGCTGTGACTTAAATAAATAGAAATTACAGATTATTTTGGTAGTGCATTTCTGCTAACATCTTAGGATATTTATTTATATATATCACTTTTTGATACTTAGTAAACACTAATTGCTGGAACTGCCACTAGATCTTGTTAGTCAATGGAATGTGCAAAGCAAGAGGTACTTTTTTTTTATATTGTGATAGCTACTTAAATATAATTTATTTTTTAAGTGTATATTATGTACTTTTTTTGTGATTCCTTTGAAAAAAATCATAAAAATCTTAGTTCTTCCCTCAGTACCATTTGATGTTTCAAAATTAGCATCTTTATTCATTTTCCAAGTTTAAATACAGATACTTTTTCTAGTTACACACAAATATTCTGTTTATACACTCACCCTTTAGTTGAGAACTTATAGACTAGAGAATTTGTCAGGGAAGCAAAAGTGTTGAGACAATGTCCTTGAAAGTTAATCTTGGCTTGGCATCCGTAGCTCAGTGAGTAAGGGTGCTCACAGACACTGAGGGTGGAGGGTTCAAGTTCGGCCCAGGCCTGCTAAACACTGACAGCTGTAACCAAAAATAGCCGGGCATTATGGGTGCCTGTAGTCCCAGCTACTTGGGAGGCTGAGGCAAGAGAATCGCTTAAGCCCAAGAGTTGGAGGTTACAGTGAGCCATGACGCCATGGCACTCTACTGAGGGCAACACAATGAGACTCTGTATCTCAAAAAAAAAAAAAAAAAGTTAATCTCATTGATTTCTTTCAAGTGCTCAGATCATAATACTGTTAACAATGAATTGTATGTATATTTCCGATGAAAATCTTTTGGCCACTTTTGTTCTCTATTGAAAAATAATCAAATGTTTACATCCATGCTGAATCTAAAATTTCTTTGTTTTTGTTTTTAATTTTAGGGAACTCTAAGTAAATCAGAATGGGAAGCTACAAGTGAGTATATCATCATTATAGGTTAACTGACAATTTAAAAGATTCTGTTTGAAAACTTAAGTTTTTCTGACTAGATCGTATGTGTGTGTGTTTGTGTTTATGCACACAAATGTACGTATATCCTTGCATATGTCTAATCCCCCTTTCTTACATACCTGTGTATACGGTGTGTAAGATATTGCTTAGCATGAACTTTCAGGAGCATATGTATATGCTTTCTTTGCCTGTTTGTACTAAATAGCCATGTCTTTATACTGTATTTACTTCAGATTTATTTCTGATGAAATTTTTGGCAATAAAACACTTCACGTGTTTTATTTGATCTGGTCACTCTGCTTCTGCTGTTGCCAGTGAAGGCATAATACTAGTGAAGCTGCAATGAACAGGGTGTTGTTAGAGGTGTGTATGACTGGGAACAAACAACTTAGGTCACAGAGTTAATGTGTAGTTAGCTAATCTGAATTATCTGTCATTTTAACCATGGCCTCATGGAAGCCCTTGTGAAGGGAAAATTTTATAAGAATTACTGAATTGGATAGATAGGAAAAGGAAAGATGACAAATAGGGCCAGGAGTTTAGCCTATTCGTGAGTATTGAGACCCTTAATAGAAGGGGATTGGAGGATGTGTTATAGACGTGATCATCCTCAACTCGGGGTAGGAACATAACCTTCACAGTTCATTACTTTTTCCTTGTGGTGGAGACTGGCCCTTTATCTTGTATCCTGCTAATTCCAAAGCATAGTATAGGTGGTGGTGGTGGCACAGGCTGTAGTTTAGAACTTTGTTAAGTATGAACTTAATAGTCATAACATACAAATGAATAATTAGATATAATTAGATAATATGTGAAGAATTAGATGGCCCTAGATAGTTGAGGAAGAGACAGGTTGGATGTATGAAAAACAACAGAAGAGCAGTGGTCAGATTATAGCCAGGATCCAGCATTCCAGGATCAAGCAACTCTTGGATGATAAACCAATCCAAGCTGCGGGGCTCTGTGAGCTAGGGAGTGTCTTGCCTGGTATCAGAAATCTAACAAATGTTAAGAAAGTGACATTGTAGACTGCTATGGGTCTGATCATTAAGCTTTTAACACTAGAGCCTGCTGTTCCTCTGTATGATGGTTTAAACAAGAAACCAAAGTAGACTATTGCCACCAATTTCTATGAAAAAGAAGTAGCTCAAGATTTGTTTCTTTAAATCTCAGTTGAAATGCCCACATCAAAGGCATTTTATATGTATAATGAGTGGGACTTTGGAAGTTTTGAGTTGGAAAGAGAAAATTACTGTGTATTCGAAATCAGACTCCAGCAATTTAGTGGTTTTAAATGACTGTCAACAAGGACAAGACAGGACTGAAGGGTTGTTTGCAGTAGGTATGGGTGTGTAGGGTGTGGGATTTGGCAGGCTGGACTGCAGAAAGATGACTTGAAGTGTGGGACAAGGTACGTGATGTTGGCAGTTGGGAGTCTGCATGCTGTGAGTACTGTTGACTGCTTTGCTTCCTTATCCTCCAGTAAGGGTTGCAGGGTTAATCATCCTGCCTACTTTCTGTCCACCTGTTACTGTACTGCTAGCCACATTTCATTTCAACTGAAAGAAATCAAAAACTAGTAAATACAGAGTAGGAGAATAGCATGACCAAAGTAATGCTTTAAAAAAACTAGTGTAGAATCCTTTGCAGAAACTAGTGTAGAAACCAGTGTTAGGTTGGAAGGGCAAGAAGCTAGAGTCCGGTAAGACACTCAGGCAGTATGCCTGCAGTCATCTGCCCTCTGTCAGTAGTCACCTCAGGGACCAAGGTCTCCAACTCAATGGCCTTACCTAGACTCAACATAGAGTGCATGTATTGAACAGCTGTGTGATGTTTTCAGGATTCATGATCTTCTCAGATATTTTCTTACCATAAAATCTGTTATCTTATTAGAAGATACACAGCCATGCCTTGGAACTAATATAGATTTGGTTCAGACCACAGCAGTAAAGCAAATACCATAATGAAGTGAGTCATGTGAATTTTTTTCATTTCCCAGTACATATAAAATTTATGTTTACACTATAGTCTAAAGTGCACAGTAGCATTATACCTGAACAAGCCATGTATATTTCTTAATTAAAAAATACTTATGGCTAAGAAATGCTAGCATTACCCGAACCTTTAGCAAGTCCTAATCTTTTTGTTGGTGAAGGATCTTTCCTTAATATTGATGGCTACTGACTGATCAGGGTGGTGGTTGCTGAAGGTTGAGGTATGCTGTGGCAGTTTCTTAAAATAAATTTGCTACCTTACTTGACTCTTTATTGCACAAAAGACTTCCCTGTAGTATACCATACTGTTTGATAACATTTTGCCCATAGTAGAACTTCCTTCAAAGTTGGGAGTCAACTTCTCTCAAACCCTGATGCTGTTTTTGTCACCTAGTTTTATGTAATAGTCTAATCCTTTGCTGTCATTTCAACAGTATTCATAGCATGTTCACCAGGTAGATTCTATCTGGGGAAACTACTTTGTGTGCTCTTTCATAAAAAATAATTCTTCATCCATTCATGTTTTATCATGATCTTGTAGCAATTCACTCACTTTTTCAGGCTCCATCTCTAATTCTCGTCCTCTTGTTATTTTTGCCACATCTTCAGTTGCTTCCTCTACTGGGGTCTTGAAGCCATCAAAAACATTCCTGAGAGTCAGATTGAATTTCTCCCAAACTCTTGTTATTTATTGTTAATAGTTTGTTGTCTTCCCCCAAATCACAAGTGTTCTTAATATTGTTTAGAATGATGAATTATTTCCAATAGGTTTTCAATCACTTTTGCCCAGATTCATCAGAGGAATCACTGTGTATGACAGCTGTAGCCTTACAAAATTTATTTCTGAAATTATGGGCCTTGAGGATGGAAATAACTCCTTGATCTACTACAGGCTACAGAATGGCTGTTATCAGGCATGAAAAACAAAATTAAAACATAATCTCTTTGTAAATCTTCATCAGAGCTCTTGGGTTACCCAGGTGTATTGTTAGTGAGCAGTAATATTTTGAAAGGAATCTTTTTTTTTCTGAGCAGTAGGTTTCTTTTCTTTTTTCTTTTTTTTCCCCTTGAGACAGAGCCTCAAGCTGTCACCCTGGGTAGAGGGCTGTGGCATCATAGCTCACAGCAAACTCCAACTCTTGTGCTCAAGTGATTATCCTGCTTCCGCCTCCCAAGTAGCTGGGACTACAGCCACCTGTCACGGAGCCTGGCTATTTTTTGTTTGCAACTATTTTTGGTTTGGTGGAGATGGGCTGTATTCAAACACGCCAGCTCCAGTTATTGTGGTTGGTGCCTTAACCGCTTGAGCCACAGGCGCCAAGCCAGCAGTAGGTTTCAATAATAGACTTTAAACATTCAGTAAGCCATGATGTGAGCGACAGATGTGCTGTCATTTAGGCTTTGTGATTCCATTTAGAGAGCACAGGCAGAGTAGATTTAGCATAATTCTTAAGGTCCTATGATTTTCATATTGGCAAATGAGCATTGATTTCAATTACAAGTCACCAACTGCATGAATGGCCCCAAATGAGAGAGTCAGCTTGTCCTTTGAAGCCGGGCATTGACTTCTCCCTAGCTAGGAAAGTATTAGATGGCATCTTCCAATAGAAGGCTGTCTTGTCTACACTGAAAATCTCTTGTCTAGGGTAGCCACTTTTCCTCAATTATCTCAGCTAGATTTTCTGGGTTATTTGCCTATAGCTTCTTCATCAGCACCTGCTGCTTCACTTTGTACTTTTATGCTTTGGAGACAGATTCTCTCCTTAAACCTACGAGCTGCTGGCTTCTGGCTTTCCTTCTGCGGCTTCCTCGCCTCTCTCCTCTATAGAATTCAAGAGAGTTAGAGTCTTGCTTTGCATTAGGGAATGTTGTGGCTGGTTTGATCTCTGAAACTTTCTCCACAGGGTGATTTTGCCTTCCTATCTTTTGTACGTTCACTGAAATAGCACTTTTAATTTCCTTCAATAACTTTTCCTTTGCACCCACCACTTTTCTGTTTGGAACAAGAGACTTGGCTCTTGGCCTTCCTGGGCTTTAAGCATGCCTTCCTCACTAAGCTTAATCATTTCTAGCTGTTGATTTAAAGGGAGAGATTTGCCACTACTCTTTTCACTTAAACACTTAGAGGCCACTGATTTGCCTCATTTCAGTATTGTTTTTCAGGAAATGCAGAGGCCCTAGGAGTGAGAGAGATGGGAAAGGGTTGATTGGTGGAGCAGTCAGAACATACACGACAATTATCACTGAAGTTCACTGTCTTAAATGGGCATGGTTTATGATATCTCAAAATGATAGTAACATCAAAGATCACCTTAACAGATACAATAGCAATGAAAAAGTTGGGAATATTGTAAGAATTACTAAAGTTTGGCAGAAAGATAGGAAGTGAGCACAGGCTTTTGGGAAAAAATGGCTCTGATAGAGTTGTGTTCAACTCAAGGTTGTCACAGACCTTTAATTTGTAAAAAGCATAGTTTGTGTGAAGCACAGTAAAACAAGGTATGCCTGTAGGAGATTTGAATGTCAGTGTGAGTTGGGACAGGGAATCCTAAATTTATTCAACTATCTTTGAGTCTCAGGAAGAAACTTTATTTAAGGGAGTCTATTCTTGGGACCAAATACATACAGAAATATTGTTGGAGCCAGATGAATGTCTCTGGGTATTGGCTGTCTGGTGGCTAGCTTCTGGTTCACTCTCTTTTCATCAGGCCCCACAGCACAACAGTTAGATGAATTTTAATGTGTTATGTTACTTACGTTGCTTATATTTCTTATTAGTAATATATATTCCTTATTTTTTCTGAAATGTTCTGCCAGTGAGTGCTGTTCAGTGTAGTGTGATAATTCTACCTACCTACCTCAGTGCAGTTAACAGGATTTGAGTCATAAGATAGTTTTAGAGTTTTTGGGTTTTTTTTGAGTTTTTTTTTAAACTTTTTACCTCCAACTATTTTTAGAGGTTTTTAGTTAATTAATTTTTAAGACAAAGTCTCACTTTGTCACCCTGGGTAGCATGCAACGCATGTCCTAGCTCATAGCGACTTCAAACTCTTGGGCTTGAGAAATCCTCTTGCCTCATTCTCTTAGCTGTCTGGAACGACAGGCATGTTTCATCATACCTAGCTATTTAGATGGTTTTTAGAACTTGAATTGGTTTTCCCTTGGACTGTGATGTCCCTGTCACTGGAGGTAGAACTTGTTTCCCAGTGTACATAGATCATCTCTTATCTGCCTGAAAATGACTAGAACAGTAGAGAGTAACTCTAGAATTAGTGGGATATTTCCTCTTCAAATGCTACATGAGAGCTGAAGAATTTTCACCAAATTCTGAATAGGATTGAGATTTTTGATTATCCTAAAGATATGAGTAACTAAACACTAACTTTTATTTATTTCCTTTTTAGGTATTTACTTGGTTTTTGCCTTTGAGAAGCAGCAGTGAGCACACAGGCAGTAGTCCCAGAGGAGCTGTGCTCTGACGTGCACAGATTTGAACATCTATTTCAGATACCTTTGACAGCACTCTTGTTTACTTTAATTCTAAATGTACAGGATGCTGCCAGAAACTCCACTGTATAAATTCAACATTGCTGTCTGTGATAGATGAACTTTTGTGTGTGTATATAAAAATGAGTTTGGGAATCTTTGTCTTTAAAATCTATTTTCAAGTAATGTCTAAGAATTCCATTTGCCTCTACTCTCTTAGCTCTTAAAAATTATGACTTCTAAAAGCAACTGAACTCCTTTTCACAGTGCTCTGATTTATCCAATGTGTGTTTACAGTATTAAGTTTATTGCAGTTGTAGAGTTGGTTAGAGCATGTCCTCCACGTGCTCATCCCTACAGCTTTGTTGCAGAGTGTCTTTCAGGATTAAGTGGATTGCATTCTGTGCAATTGAATGTTCATATGTATTGTTCAAGTTGCAAGTTTAAAACTCAGTTTAGATGGTCATAAAAGTTACTTAACTAGAATTTTAAGCACTGTATTGCATTTCAAAATAACCATTTGCTGATACGCTGCAATCTGAGCTCATTAGAACATTTTATATGGTGGCACAGAATTAGTTTGGGATTTAGGGGCTTCCTGTTAAGAGTTTCCTACCATAGCAGTTTTTCCAGTTATCAAGATTGAAATTAGGCACATTGACCTTTCCTCATGGAAGAATGATACCATGGTTATTTTTCTCAAGATTCAGTGAAAATTCTTCCCATACACAAACCTGTTGCACTTTTCTTTTTTTCAAATTTATGCATGGAACTGCAGTAGGAGTTTAGGGCTATAAAAGAAGCAAATAAATAGATTTCATATTAATTCTGACTAATGGTATGTGCCCGCCTCAGCCCAGAAATAAGCAATTCCTGTTTCTCTGGTACAATAGTACTTTGCACAGTAGGGGCCATTTTCTAATCACTGTTCAAAATTTTTACATGCCATTTCAGAACTATTATAATTGTCAGTCATATAATATTCTTCCAAAACTTAGGCCTATGTCAACTGTTGTCGATACAGCACTGCTTGTGAGACTATCAGTTTTTAGGTGTAGTGAAAAATATAAGAGCAAGGCAGAGCAACTGCACATTCTTTTAAGAATTGCGTATTTAAAGCACGATTTACAAGAACATTACTTTCTGTTGTTATTCATAGTACTTGTTTTAAAAACATGGTTCTTAATTGGGTTCTGAGACTGACGCACTACCTGCTATACAAAGAGGCAGGTTTTAATTAGTTCAGATCTGTTGGTTGGTTGTGGTATTAGACTGCCAGACCTTTTAACAAGAAAACATGGGTTTCTTCATTTGTTTCTCTTGCAGTCTTTCGATCTCCAAACTGTACCAGTTTATAAAAATTAAGTCTTTTTGCCCTGGTAATGGTTTTCCCTAAGTTATTTGGGAGATAAATAATAGCACGTATGACTATAGTAGCTGCCATTAGCTAGCAAAACTTTGTTAATAGTGCTGGGGAGGTGGAGAAAAGGAGTTCTTTCCTTTACATATTCAGGTTCTTTTTGGTTTCAGGGAAGGGCCAGAGGTATTTTGATAGTTTGGTAGGTATAGAAAGCTTTATCATCATTTCCTGTTGTTCTCTTTTAGTGGTGTAAGTTAACGGTAATAATGCGTATATTTATAACCCCTTTCAGCCTTTTCCACTCATCTGTTAATTTTGGGAAGAGAAGAATCCCCTAAAAGATGGAGCAACTGGGGATAGTACAAAACAGAGTGAATAGAAAGGTGGAGTTCCTACGGACTTCAGTGAGAAGAGAGAGCTAGACTCGGTCTATGAAGGGGCTCATAAGGATGGAGCCAGCTTTTGCAGATGCAGGAGAGGCTGCCAAGGAGCCTGAGGGCACGCGTGAAGGAAGCCATCCTTTCCCTTAGCTTTGTTTGCCTGTTACCTTGTCTGTGCAATTAAGTGTCTGGACAGTAATTCAAAAAGAATAAGGAAAAGGACTGGAAAAGGTGGCCCCTGCCCACCCTCTTTCATCACCAGGGTGGTAGTTCCTGTCCCTATTCAAGATTGTGGTGACCAGTACACAAGGGGTATGGCTTGTCATTGGTGGGCCAGGAAAAGCACTTGTTATACCAAGTTCAGTGAAGTGGGTGGTTTCTGGGAGTAGCTGCTGGACATTCCTAGTACTGCTGTGCAGTTACCTTCCAATAATGAAGTTTTTAATAGAAATGAAGATCAAATTAGCCATTTATGGGAGTGCAGAACCAGAGCTTTGGGATGTTTGGCCTGGGAACAGGGCGGGTTATAATAGAACTAAGAGTGCTGGCTGACGTTGAATTCTTTGGGTCTGGAATAGTGGTTCTCAACCTGTGGGGTCATGACCCTTTTTTAACAATGAAAGTACATTGTGGTATTAGGAAGGTTGAGAAGTGCTGGTCTAGAATATACTCAAGGAATGGCACTGATGGCCACAGTATTCAGGAGGAGAACTTGGCAGTTTCCTGTGGCATCTGAGGGGCTAACCTACAGAGAGTGCTATAAGCCTGTCAGAGAGTGACTTGGGTACCATACTGTCAGGCAAGGCCCTCCTGTGTCTCTAGTGCCCACCATGCACTGGGTATAGCAGGGGTCCTCAAACTTTTTAAACGGGGCCAGTTCACTGTCCCTTAGACCGTTGGAGGGCTGGACTGTGGGCCCCAGGACAAGTCGGCTGCTAACAGGCAGCATGGGCAAATACACCTGGTGGGCCGGATAAATGTCCTAGGTGGGCTGCATGTGGCCCACGGGCCGTAGTTTTGGGATGCCTGGGGTATAGTATGAACTTTGCCTTCAGCAAGAACAGGTATTGGGAGCAACCCTTACTTACATTAATCCATCTATCTAAAGACCAAAAGGTCGATTACCAGCATGTTGTGTTTCCTAGTCTGTTTCCCCCTCCTGCATGTAGGAATAGAGGAAATAAGATTGCTGTTTGACTTTGCATGTTAATACAGGATCAGAACAGAGGCATACAAAGTGGGAGGGGCTTTGAGGCGGATGCAATGTTGGTCACTAGTAGCAAAGCAGAAAAAGCATGGCCAGCCACGAAATGTCTGGATTTCTAGACTCATTAGTTCTTTTAGGAATGAGCCTGTCATAACTTATTGCCATTGGGTTATTTTGTTACGTATTTACACATCCTGAAGATGTGGCTTCTTATATAGGTTTGCCTACAGGCTGAAAATGCCAGTGTGAATATTCTGCCTCCTGAAAAGTATTTCCTCAGGCTTTGTATGTTTGGGTTATTTTGAGCCAGTTACTGCAAATGTCTCTAGGTCTGCAAAGTAGAGGCCAGATCCAGGGACCAAGGCCCAGTAATAGAATGTATACCAAAATACCTGTGGTATTCAGTAGCCTGTTGGTCAAGTAAGTGTATAGGTCTATAATGTTACAACTTACCTGGTTGCTGCTATATATCAAGTACTACACACCTGATAAGAAGTTTGTTAATTCTGACACAGCAACATTTCTGATTCTTTGAAGGCAACTGATGGAATGACAGTTGGTGATGCTGTCACCTATTTAGTGATATACTTATAACATTTATTAGGCACCTACCTTGTATTTAACACTTTTTAAAATGTTTTACACATGGTAACTCATTTTGATCCTTGTAACAATTATATGAGGTAAGCACCTTTATCCCCATTTTTATGACGAGGAAACTAAGGCACAGAGAGGCTGCTGACCTGCTCAAGACAGGGCCAGGATTTTAATACCCCTGACCCCAAGTTGAGCCTTTCCTCCAGTTGCATATTAGATACCTCCAAGGTGTGTCAGGCCCACGTGGCTTCTTGACCATTCACTACCTGCAACTTGAGATGTTAACTATTAGAGCTCTACTTGATTAAAACTTTGTTATTTGTGAAATGTTTCCTGAGGGGAGCCATTATTCTTGAGTAAAAGGATTTGTTGAGAGAGGGTAGAGAAAGCAGGTGAAACTTGAGCACCGTGGCAGGAAGCAATGATAGACTTGAATTTCATAGTCTGGCAGATTTCCTCCTTGAGCAGCCAGTCCTACAGCAAATCTGGTTTAGTCTGCAGGGGATGTGGTTCTCTTCCCACCCTCACCATTTGGAAGTGGCATTGAGGAGATGAAAGTGCAAGTGTGAGGTGTAGGCAGGGGGAGTGGTCAAGAGAGAAGCATTCTTGAGTCTGAGATGAGTGTGCAAGCAGAAGCAAATCATTTAACTTTTTATTAGTGTAATATCTATACAGTGTCAATTATTTTTTTCCAGATAGGACACGTGTTATAGTCAGCACCCCAGTAGGTCTTGTCAGGTTTCCTTTCAGTTACTAGCTCTCTAAGGGTAACCACTGTCTTGAGTTCTAAGAGCATAAATTGGTTGTGCCTGGTTTTGGATGTTGTATGAATGGAATTAAATGTTATGCATTCTTTGTATCTGGCTTCTTTCCTCATCATTATGTTTGTGAGACTTTTGTTGCATGTATTTGTACATGTTTCTTCATTTGCAGGGTTGTATAGTATTCCATGTGTGAATAAACCACATACTATTTATTCCCATTTTGGAACTGTTAGTGCTGCTTCAGATATTCTAGTACAAGAATGTGGGTGTACATAGGTACACATTGCTGTTTAGGAATGGGCTACAGTTTGGATGTTTATCCCGTCTAAATCCCATATTGATATTTGATCCCCAATGTTGGAGGTAGGCTCTAATGGGAGGTGTTGAGGGCATGGAGGATAGATCCCTCACGGTTTAGATTAATGCCCTCTAGGAGTGAGGGGATGAGTGTTTGTTCTGCTGGATTAGTTCTCATGAGAGCTGGTTAAAAGGAGCCTGGTTCCTCCCCCTACTTCTTGCTTCTGCCCATGCTGTGTGATGTCTGCTCATGCTGCTCCCATTTCCTTCCCCTGTAAGCGGAAACAGCTCGAGATCCTCACTGGAAGCCCAGTGTATGCTAGCACCTAAAGGCTGCTGATTATACAGAAATTGCCTGCAGAACTGTGAGTTGAATAAACCTCTTTATAAATCATTCAGCCTCAGGTATTCTTTTATAGCAACACTAAATGAACTAAGAATGGAATTGCGGATTGTAGCATACATACCATGTTCAGCTTTAATGAATACTTCCAAACAGCTTTATAAAGTTCCATTTGTCCCACATCATCATCAGACCTGGTTGTGTTTGTCTTTTCCATTTTATCCTTGGTGGGCATGTAGTGGTAACTTGTGCCTTTAGTTTTCACATCAGTCTTTAATGAGATTGACCTCTTACCAAACTCTGTCCTCG